GCTTACGTTTTGTGAACCATGACTGGTGTTAGCGCCTTTAAACCATGACTGTCCTACCCTTGTGAACTGACTGGGTTATGCCTTTAAACCCATGCTGGGGGTTTAGCCCCTTTGTGAACCATGCTGGTGTTGCCCCTTGTAAACCCATAAAGGTCCTGCGCCTTGTGAACCATGACGGATTAGTGCCTTGTGAACCTGACTGGTGTTAGGCCTTGTGAACCATGACGGGTCAGCCCCTAGTAAACCATGACTGGTTTTGTTAGCGTTTGTAACCCAGATGGTGTTACGCCTTGTGAACCATGAGGGATTTAGTGCCTTGTAACCATGGTGGAGTTAGTGATTTGTAAAACCATGACTGGTGTTAGGCCTTTGAACCTGACGGAGTTGTCCTTGTAAACCCATGATGGATTATTTGCCTTGTAACCATGACTGGAGTTAGTGCCTTTGAACAAGACGTGTTAGCGCCTGTGAACCATGACTGGCTTTAGCCCTTTGTGAACCTGACGGGTTTACGCCTTTGAACCATGATGGAGTTAGTGCCTTGTGAACCCTACGGAGTAGTCCCTTGTGAACCTGACTGGGTTAGTGCCTTGTAAACCCCAGACGGGTTTTTAGCGCCTAGTGAACCATGACTGGCGTTACCCCTTTTTGGAACCTATGGTGTTGCGCCTTGTGAACCAGGAGGGATTTAGCGCCTTGGAACCATGACGGTGTCACGCCTTGTGAACCATGATGGTCTTAGGCCTTTTGAACCTAACGGAGTTGGGCCCTTGTAAACCCTGCTGGGTTAGTGACTTGTGCCCCATGACGGTTTTAGGACTTGTGAACCATGACTGGTGTTAGCGCCTTGTGAACCATTTTGGGAGTTGTGCCTGTAACCTGACGGAGTTAGTGCCTTGTGAACAGACGGGTTAGGCCTTTGAACCATGATGGAGTTAGTGCCTTGTAAACCCATAAGGGAGTTGGGCCCTTGTAACATAGGGAGTTAGTCCCTTTGGAACCAGACGGGTGTTAGCGCCTTGTGAACCTGACGGGAGTTAGTGCCTTTTGAACAACTGGAGTTAGTCCTTGTAAACCATACTGGAGTTAGTGCCTTTGAACCAGGATGGTGTTAGGACTGTAAAACCTTACTGGAGTTAGTCCCTTGTGAACCATGACTGGAGTTAGTGCCTTTGTAAACCATGACTGGTGTTCACCTTGTAAACCCCATGAGGGGTGTTAGCACCTTGTGAACCTGAGTGTGTTACCCCTTGTGACCAGGGGCTGGTTTTTTTTCACCTTGTGAACCATGGCTGGTGAGCGCCTTGTAAAACCTTATGGTGTTCACCTTGTGAACCATGACGGGTTTTAGCACCTTGTAAAAACCATGATTTGGTGTTGCCCCCTGTAAACCCCCATGATGGTGTTAGACCTTGTGAAATGACTGGTTTTAGCACCTTGTAACCATGCTGGTGTTAGCGCCTTGTGAACCAGACTGGTGTTGCCCCTTGTGAACCATGAGGGTGTTAGCACCTGGAACCATGACTGGATTTGTGCCTTGTAAACCATGACGGGTGTTAGACCTTTTTGAAACCAGAGGGGTGTTAGCCCCTTGTAACCCAGATGGGTTAGCCCCTTGTGAACCATGGCTGGTGTTACCCCTTTGTGAAATGGCTGGTGTTAGGCCTTTGAACCATGACTTTTAAACCCTTGTGAACCAGGGGACGGGTGTTGGCACCTTGTAAACCCATGATGGTTTTAGCGCCTTGTAAAACCATGAGGGTTCGCCTTGTAAACCATGACGGTGTTAGCCCCTTGTGAACCATGGCTGGTGTTACGCCTTGGAACCATGAGGTGTTGCGCCTTGTAACCCATGGCTGGTGTTAGCACCTTGTAACCTGATGGTGTCAGAGGGTGTCGAGCTTTGTTTGTATTTCCTATTTTAAAACGAGTGACCCAAAAAGAAAATCAAAAGTTTCTCTTTTTAATTTTAGTAATGTATCAAAAGGGGGTTTCTAGCCTCTTGCTCCCGGGATTTTATTCCTTGAATAGGTAAAACTGGCAGTTAGACAGAACCATTTAAAATTTCGTACTTTTAAAAATTGTTTTTAAATTTAAAAATATGTTTTTTTCAATTATTTAAAAAAAATTCAATGTTTTTTACCAAAAAAACATTAGGAAAAATTACCAAAACCCTTTTTATCACACGCGCAATTTATTTTAACCCGATTCAATAAAATTATTTTTTAAAAGTTTTTAAAAATTTAATAATAAACAAACACAAGAAATATATTTTTTTTTTGTTGGTTAGAATGATTTTTGTGAAATTGCTAACAATTTTCACTTGACTTATTCGGGAAGAAAAACTTTTCTATTTAAGCCAAAAACCCCAAAGTTTACCTTTTCGGCACGACATATATATATATATATATAAATTTATAATATATATATTTTTATATATAATATATAAATATATTTTAATATAATAAATTTAATATGTATTTAAAACAAAACAACCAGGAAAGGGGATTTGATTAATAGCTCTTGGGTTTTGTTGGCAATAAAAAATTGGGTTGCAAATTGCGAAATGGGAAGAAATCCAGCAATTCGTTCCCAGGACGCTTCTAATATCTTGCAAACGTTCCCTTCCCAACGAAAAATTGCCGAAATTTCTTACTCATTTCTGCAAAATTTTAAAAATTGATGAGGTTTTCGCAACACGATAGTCCTGAGCGTTTTACAACACCCCCCCTGGGGGTTTTTAACTTTATCGCTTGTTTGCGATTCATCAAATTTTTTATAATAAAATACAATAATGCAATAATGCAACGAGCGACATGCATAATAATACGGTATACATTTTTATATAACTTGAGCTCATCATACGCTCTCCGGCGTGCTTTCTAAATCATCCAAACTAGTAACTTGAGTGGAGCAGTTTATTTAGGGGTCCTGCTTCTCTGGTAGGCTCTTCAGTTCATACACCAGCCAATAGGGTGAGAGTTTGCCCTCAGCTAAGTTGAGGTTATGCTTTCCCACCAGCTGGACGACAGACTCACTAACACTGGTCGCGTACGTTTATATTGAGGTGTAAAAGCAACTGCAGTAACTCTGCTCTCTCACTCATTGTTATTGTGCCGACAATATCCACTTTCTTCATACTGTAAATATCTTGGTGAAGGGAATATATGGGCATTAAAAACTACGCTCATATGCTTGGCTTTATTTGCCTTTATTTACCTGTGTTTGTAATATTTTTACTGCCAAACTCCAGGTGGACCCTGGAGTACATAAGCTAGAGTAAACCAGTCACACTCGAGCCCGTTTACAAAACAGTCTTGTATAGTTGGCTGTCTAAAGTCACTGACAGCTTGACACTCAACTACAGAAAAGGAGACTTGTCTACAGTCGTCTGCACGTGTCACAGGTGACGATATCCAAATCTAATTCTTTCTTTTTTATTATAATAAGAATAATAATTTATTAAATATCACACCTGTATATATTTCTTCTTCCTTATCTCCCCATCCATGCAACGAAGATCATACAGAGAAGGATGAAAAAATTAATCCACTGCGTAAGAGTTCTAAACTACACTACTCACTTGAAAGACACACAAAGAGGGAAGATATGATTGAAATATACAAATGAAAGACAGGTACAAATACAAAGCTACACATCATGTGGTGATGCTAACTAATCAATAAATATCTCTTAACAATGAATTCAAGTTGGGTAAATTCAGATTATGTAACAATATAATAAAGTTCTGGATTTGAACTAGAGATACAGATGAGTGGAATAATGAGTAAGAAACAAGTGCAATTCCTGGATATCTTCAATATCAACAAGTTTTGCCAACCAGTGGCTTATTCAATTTGATACAGAGATTATATACTGGAGACACTGGGAGATGAGGCAATCAATCTCTCAGCCTTGATAGATGGTATTCATTTCCTTATCCTTGATGAATCTGAATCACAGGCAGGGGGATAGATACTAATATACTGGAACTGAAAGACGTTCAGTAGTTGAAGGCATTCGACACAAGTAGCAGGGACCTAGTAGTGCAGGTACGTTGTGACCAACAATTGGCCAGAAGTGTTGAAAAAATCCTCAGTACAAATCCTCAGTGCAATGGTGTTATGTTCACTCACAAGATAGAAGTCAGAGCGGGTGAAGAACATAACAATGGTAGAATTACCAACAATATGTTAGGTTTTATAAAAGGACACAAGCGCAAGTCATGTGACATTTTATTGTGGCAACGTTTCGAGGAGCTTTGTCAAGCTGGCTTGATAAAACTCTGAACTGCAAAACGTTGCAACTATAAAATGTCCCGTTAATTGCACATGTGTCCTTTTATCTAACAGGTGACGAATGTAGAAAGGAACCTGAAAATCAGGCGAAGTGAAAAAAGTCTGAAAGAAGCCAGGTTAGTTCAAGAGCTTAAGTGAAGCCGGAAGCAACGTTAGGCCAAATGAACATTAAAATGGTATAAAATACCGACAGATTGTTAGGTAAGACACATATGCAACAGTTAGGTATCTTTATTTCGAAACGTTTCGCCTACACAGTAGGCTTCTTCAGTCGAGTACAGAAAAGTTATAGAAGCGGAGATACTTGAAGACGATGTAATCAGTCCATCCCCTTAAAGTTTGAGGGGTCGTCTCAGTACTGGAAAGAGCATTGTTCCGTTGTCGAAACATATTGTTTCAGACAACGGAACAATGCTCTTCTCCAGACTGAGGGACTGACCACCTCAAAACTTTAAGGGTGATGGACTGATTACATCGTCTTCAAGTATCTTCCGCTTCTATCAACTTTTCTGTACTCGACTGAAGGAGCCTACTGTGTAGGCGAAACGTTTCGAAATAAAGATACCTAACTGTTGCATATGTGTCTTACCTAACAACGTTAGGCCAGGAAGCCGTTTAAAAAAACGTTAAATATATGAGTGCGAATGGTTGGGTTTGAAAAAGTTCTGCCTAGCATGGGCCAACAGGCATCGAACAATTTATTAATTATTACAGTGTGCATCAGAGAGCAGGTACTCACCCGGGAAAGCAGTGATGGTTGGGAACTCATGTGGAAAGGAAAGGATGGGCACCCCAGGTGAAGACCAGATACTCACTTCGGTGATTTTCTTCATTGCGGCCAACACGACGGTGTCTGGAGGCAGCTTGTTGCCGTTAACAGCAGCAGCCCACGTGAGGATTCTCAAGGCTTCGGTGTGACGTCCTTGAGTCATCAGCCAGCGGGGTGACTCGGGCAGCATACTGCAAATGGTAATGGGTGCTATCACTCAGAGTACCTTTCTTTCCAGGAAATAGCATTCGAATATCCAGTTTCCCAGTATATAATTTCTCAATACCTCATTTTCCAGGATACTGCATCGAAGTATTACGAATCATAGTATCTAGTTTTCTAATACTTGCTTCGTAATACCTAGCTCCATTATATCAAGATTTCTAAGTACTTACCTTCTTAGTATCAAGATAAATAGTACCTAGACTCCTAGCATCTTGCTTCCTAATACCTAACTCCATAGGATGAATATCCTTAATACCAAGTTTCTTTGTTTCAAAATTCATAGTATCCAGCCTCCAAGTACTTAGCTTCTTAGTATCAGGATTTCAGTACACCGCTTTCAAGAATGAACATTCCTTTTAACTAGTATCCTAGTAACAAGAGTCCTGGTACCTAGCTTCCTAAAGCCCTGCTTCTTACACTCAGAGCAGCATCCTAGGGATGGAAGATTGCAGTATTATAGCCTTTCTAATACCTCGGTTCCTAGTACATGGTTTCCTAATACCTCGCATTCTATTATCTAGCTTACTAGTACGTAGTATCCCAGTATCTAGCCTCCTAGTACCTAGTTTCCCATTGCCTGCTTTGGCCAGCATGCTGAAGGTGCCACATGATATCATGTATTATTCTTTGCAACATCCTGTGAATGATAGTTAACATTCTTCTAGTACTCCTTTTAGCATAGTTGATAATGAGACGTAGGTATCACACTTACCCTCCTAGTGCACACCTTTAGCTAATAAATCTGTTACAATGAAAATCATGTATAGAGATTCACATTACTATGCCAAGTAACTATTTAAAATCCAGAAATATGGTCCAAGGCTGTAACATTTTCTGTCAATATGTGTTCTAAGAAGAGAGCAATGTCCATGGACTGAAAAATATGCTCTCGTGTCCTTTAATTTGAACTAGTGATTCCTCTCTTTTGGGTCAAGTGCTCGATCACTATCTTGAAAAATGCTATGAGTAATAATAAATAAAGCAATACTTGCCAAATGTAGATAATAAATAAAAATGTAGGAAAGGTGAAGGCAGTCTGTAGCCACTGCCAGGGCCGGATCAAGTAGGCTATGCCTGGAAGTATCATGTACCCAAGTGCCCAGGGGGCCGACATAAATGCTCCAACATATGTTCGCTGTTTTGGAGAGGAGATTTCCAAACCTAGAAGACAGGTAAGAAAGTAAGGACCAAATCATGATATATACTCTAACTCATTATCACTGAAAGCTTTGAATACAGAGAATCAACGAATTATTATTGTGAATATTACTATTATTTAATACTTCGAATATTCTTTCTATAAGTTTCAACAGAAAATTTGGTCCAGGACCGAGGTTTGGGAACAGTGATCACCGGAACTATCATTAGGTAAACAACGACTGGAGTATTCACCTAAGTAAACAACTTAAGTTTGGTCTAGGACCGAGGTTTGGGAACAGTGATCACCGGAACTATCATTAGGTAAACAACGACTGGAGTATTCACCTAAGTAAACAACTTAAGTTTGGTCTAGGACCGAGGTTTGGGAACAGTGATCACCGGAACTATCATTAGGTAAACAACGACTGGAGTATTCACCTAAGTAAACAACTTAAGTTTGGTCTAGGACCGAGGTTTGGGAACAGTGATCACCGGAACTATCATTAGGTAAACAACGACTGGAGTATTCACCTAAGTAAACAACTTAAGTTGAGTAGATTTCCTGATATTCTAAGGAAATTGTCAATGTTCGTTAATGAACTAATTAAAAGTGAAAAATAAACAAAAATTAATCTGTGTAAACTAAAGGGAATCCGCATACACTAAAAAAGAATTCATGTACAGTAAAGGGAATCTGAGTACACTAAAAGGAATCTTCATATGCTAAAAGGAATATGAGTGCATTAAAAAGGAATTCACATACTCCAAAAGGAATTTGAGTACACTAAAAGGAATCCGTATATACTAAAAGGTAACCATGTGTGGTGGAATTTATTCCACCGAATTCCAGTACCATCATGCCCTCACCCATTCTTCTAGGTGGGGGGGGGGATGGGGTGAAAGGAGAGTAAGTGAGTCTAACTGAACTCTCCCCTCTCCCTTCCTCTTTCTCCTCCCTCTCCTTGTGAGAGACTAAATGATCAAAATCAAAATCAAAAGTTTATTTCTTTGCAAAGGTTACAGTGCGTGTTTACATTTCATAATTTGATTGGTACAAAGAAAGCCATTGTCATGCCAAGGTATTTTGAGCCTCGCTTAACGTTAGATATTACATTTTTGACACACGAGTCCTTAATGAATTGCTGTAGTTATGAACCTCACTCTTCAGACTAAGATCTTCATTCTAAATTGTTAAGAATGAACTGTCATTCTTACATATCTAAGACACTTTGTAAGTGTCCTTAATTTTGTCATATGGTAGCCCCTGCTAGTGTCGCCTAGGGGCACTCATTTCAAATAACTACAGTTTTCTGTAGGCTCTCGTAGTGGCGAGAGGCAGTCTTGAAGCCAGGGGGTACCATGTAATCATGTGTCGGACCCTTGCGAGGGGAGGGACTCCCTAGCGATAATGCAATCAACACACAACGATCGCAGCGTTCGAGTTCTAGAGACTGTTTATGTGATTAGTGTATCCTTAATTCGTTGGATTTACAACGTGGTGGAGCAGTGAATCCTCGTGTATTCCCACGCTTGCAGGCGCATCTGAGTCTTCGAGAATCGTCATGGCGGTCAATTGCAGTCTCGTTCAGTAGGCAAATAATTTTGCCCGATGCGAAGCAGGAGCCTATTAGGCCACGGGATTTAGTTCAGATTACCAGGGGCCCTGATAAGCAGGTGTCACCACGTGGCAAGCACACGAGGCCATGTCTATCCACCAAGTCAATGTCCTGGGTAATAGCACCTGGATGTTGGACCAGGACATAGGTGCTAATAAGAATACCACAAGGGATAAAGTACCCTGGTATGTTTTTTAATTAAGTGTTACAGCCCGGCCGTAGAGGTGTATTCACTTAATTAAGAGGTATGGGATGGGTGATGGCTGGTGTGGATTAGACTGACGTGTGACTGATGAGGTCGCTCACAGCTTCTACAAACGACACTAAAAGGAATCCATGTGTACTAAAAGGAATCTATGTGTACTAAAAGGAATCCATTACATTAAAATGAATCCATGTATACTAAAACAAATCCATGTATACTAAAACAAATCCATGTATAGTAAAATGAGCTCATGTATACTAAAACGAATCCCACTTTGTACGTGTCAGAATCAGTACATACTAGAAGGAATCTGTCAGAGACTGCAACATCTTGGGATCTTTATAAAGGGAATTCTTCAACGCTTGTCTAACCTACAGACATAATCTATTTACATTATTGGATTTGTCCACTGGTGACTCCGCCTCCACCTGCTTCTTCTCACCTGACTGCAGTATATAAGCCACTTTTCCGAGCATATGTTGTACTTTTCTCAAAAGTGATGTACTGAACTTATCAACTCCATGCTGAGGGACTGATTTCCTCGGGCCCCTCCTCAACTTCCACCGTTCTTCTCTGTAATGGACTGAAGAAGCCACTAATTGGCGAAACATTTCCTTTATAAAGATTAACAAATGTTGCACAAGTGTCTTATCCTTTAACGTATATCTGTACTTTCAATTTTGTTTTGTTTACTGTAAGAGTTGTGATGAATGGTTTGAAAACTGATAAGTTCTTTTCTCTATAAAACTTCCTTCTGTAAAACCACGAAACGGGAGCGATGATCCCCGATATCTTAAATAGAAAATAATATTACCTTAAAAACCTGAGCGATACAATGTGAGAATTCACTCGCACAGAAATATAAAGCACTCTTAAGAGAGATCATCATATTTCGGCTTCAACGAGAGACCCTCTTGAGATGCTTAAACTTTTGGAGAGTTTCGACTGTAGAGGAAGAACTGTGAGACTTACTGAGAATTAGGCAGCCCATGTAGTAGCCGCTAGCCACAGCAGTGATGACGCCTCTCATGACGATGTAGAAGGTGATGCTGGGGGAGAGGGAGATCAGGAAGCCGGTGACCATGGTCAGTCCCCCGCTCAGCAGTACTGACGTCCTGCGACCCAACCTGAAGAAGACGCAGCCCTCAGGAACTACAGTGACTACGGTATTACGTGGTGATGTGTGAGCCCAGCCTGGCTGCCAAGGGTGACTCTCTCTCTCTCTCTCTCTCTCTCTCTCTCTCTCTCTCTCTCTCTCTCTCTCTCTCTCTCTCTCTCTCTCTCTCTAGCTCAGGTTCACTATCAGGTAGGGTCACTTTCACATGGTTCATGCTTGCTACTGTCTATGGGTCATCTTCACCAAGTTCATGTTCACCGCATCGTTTACTTTCAGGCAGACAATCAAACAAGTGGAACTGACTGACAAATAACTATTTCTGAGTCTTTAATATTACCACAAAAGGGACTTAACAATCTCTCCTAAGCAGGCAAAAATTAACCTAATATAACTTAAACTAAGATCAACTTAATTCATGGTTTAATTTTTTTAGTATAATTAAGGTATGGTAAGCCTACGTAATACTGTATAGGATCAGTGTGATTTCGTTTGGGTTCGAGAAGGTCCTGCCTAGTACGGGCCAGTAGACCTGCTGCAATGTTATTTTTTCTTTCGTTCTTAAGTTCAAATTAACCTGTATTACTACGCTTGTTAGACACAAACTAACCATGTGAGTACGGTTGTTAGATTCAAACTAACCAGTGTGGTTGTATTTGTTAGATTCAAACTAACCGGTGTGGTTGTATTTGTTAGATTCAAACTAACCAGTGTGGCTGTATTTGTTAAATTCAAACTAACCAGTGTGGTTGTATTTGTTAGATTCAAACTAACCAGTGTGGCTGTATTTGTTAGATTCAAACTAACCAGTGTGGTTGTATTTGTTAAATTCAAACTAACCAGTGTGTTTGTATTTGTTAGATTCAAACTAACCAGTGTGGTTGTATTTGTTAGATTCAAACTAACCAGTGTGGTTGTATTTGTTAGATTCAAACTAACCGGTGTGGTTGTATTTGTTAGATTCAAACTAACCAGTGTGGCTGTATTTGTTAAATTCAAACTAACCAGTGTGGTTGTATTTGTTAGATTCAAACTAACCAGTGTGGCTGTATTTGTTAGATTCAAACTAACCAGTGTGGTTGTATTTGTTAAATTCAAACTAACCAGTGTGTTTGTATTTGTTAGATTCAAACTAACCAGTGTGGTTGTATTTGTTAGATTCAAACTAACCAGTGTGGTTGTATTTGTTAGATTCAAACTAACCGGTGTGGTTGTATTTGTTAGATTCAAACTAACCAGTGTGGCTGTATTTGTTAAATTCAAACTAACCAGTGTGGTTGTATTTGTTAGATTCAAACTAACCAGTGTGGCTGTATTTGTTAGATTCAAACTAACCAGTGTGGTTGTATTTGTTAAATTCAAACTAACCAGTGTGTTTGTATTTGTTAGATTCAAACTAACCAGTGTGGTTGTATTTGTTAGATTCAAACTAACCAGTGTGGTTGTATTTGTTAAATTCAAACTAACCAGTGTGGTTGTATTTGTTAGATTCAAACTAACCAGTGTGGTTGTATTTGTTAGATTCAAACTAACCAGTGTGGCTGTATTTGTTAGATTCAAACTAACCAGTGTGGCTGTATTTGTTAGATTCAAACTAACCAGTGTGGTTGTATTTGTTAGATTCAAACTAACCAGTGTGGTTGTATTTGTTAGATTCAAACTAACCAGTGTGGCTGCATTTGTTAGATTCAAACTAACCAGTGTGGTTGTATTTGTTAGATTCAAACTAACCAGTGTGGCTGTATTTGTTAGATTCAAACTAACAAGTGTGGCTGTATTTGTTAGATTCAAACCAACCAGTGTGGCTGCATTTGGTAGATTCAAACTAACCAGTGTGGCTGCATTTGTTAGATTCAAACTAACCAGTGTGGCTGTATTTGTTAGATTCAAACTAACCAGTGTGGATGTATTTGTTAGATTCGAACCAACCAGTGTGGCTGCATTTGTTAGATTCAAACTAACCAGTGTGGCTGTATTTGTTAGAATCAAACTAACCAGTGTGGCTGTATTTGTTAGATTCAACTAACCAGTGTGGCTGTATTTGTTATATTCAAACTAACCAGGGTGGGTGTATTTGTTAGATTCAAACTAACCAGTGTGGTTGTATTTGTTAGAATCAAACTAACCAGTGTGGCTGTATTTGTTAGATTCAAACTAACCAGTGTGGCTGTATTTGTTAGATTCAAACTAACCAGTGTGGCTGCATTTGTTAGATTCAAACTAACCAGTGTGGCTGTATTTGTTAGATTCAAACTAACCAGTGTGGCTGTATTTGTTAGATTCAAATTAACCAGTGTAGCTGCATTTGTTAGATTCAAACTAAACCAGTGTGGCTGCATTTGTTAGATTCAAACTAACCAGCGTGGCTGTATTTCTTAGATTCAAACTAACCAGTGTGGCTGCATTTGTTAGATTCAAACTAACCAGTGTGGCTGTATTTCTTAGATTCAAACTAACCAGTGTGGCTGCATTTGTTAGATTCAAACTAACCAGTGTGGCTGTATTTGTTAGAATCAAACTAACCAGTGTGGCTGTATTTGTTAGATTCAACTAACCAGTGTGGCTGTATTTGTTAGATTCAACTAACCAGTGTGGCTGTATTTGTTATATTCAAACTAACCAGGGTGGGTGTATTTGTTAGATTCAAACTAACCAGTGTGGTTGTATTTGTTAGAATCAAACTAACCAGTGTGGCTGTATTTGTTAGATTCAAACTAACCAGTGTGGCTGTATTTGTTAGATTCAAACTAACCAGTGTGGCTGCATTTGTTAGATTCAAACTAACCAGTGTGGCTGTATTTGTTAGATTCAAACTAACCAGTGTGGCTGTATTTGTTAGATTCAAATTAACCAGTGTAGCTGCATTTGTTAGATTCAAACTAACCAGTGTGGCTGCATTTGTTAGATTCAAACTAACCAGCGTGGCTGTATTTCTTAGATTCAAACTAACCAGTGTGGCTGCATTTGTTAGATTCAAACTAACCAGTGTGGCTGTATTTCTTAGATTCAAACTAACCAGTGTGGCTGCATTTGTTAGATTCAAACTAACCAGTGTGGCTGCATTTGTTAGAATCAAACTAACCAGTGTGCCTGTATTTGTTAGATTCAAACTAACCAGTGTGGCTGTATTTGTTAGAATCAAACTAACCAGTGTGGCTGTATTTGTTAGATTCAAATTAACCAGTGTAGCTGCATTTGTTAGATTCAAACTAACCAGTGTGGCTGCATTTGTTAGATTCAAACTAACCAGTGTGGCTGTATTTCTTAGATTCAAACTAACCAGTGTGGCTGCATTTGTTAGATTCAAACTAACCAGTGTGGCTGTGTTTCTTAGATTCAAACTAACCAGTGTGGCTGTATTTGTTAGATTCAAATCAGTGTGACTGCGTTAGTTCGGGAAAAATCAAACACACAAGACAACTATTTCTTGTTCTCAACACAAAAATTTCAGTAGGAACAAACACAATACTGAGAGAAACACAGTAGAGAATGTATATTTACATATAAATTTACATATTAAGGACTGTTATCCTACGTTAATTAAATTAAATGCTAAGAGTTGTTATCTTACTGCAGTTAATGTACATGCTAAGAACTTTTATCTTAGTGCATTAATTTACACGCTAAGAGCTGTTATCTTACTGGAGTAAATTTACATGCTAAGAGCTGTTATCTTACTGGAGTTAATTTACATGCTAAGAGCTGTTATCTTACTGCAATTAATTTACATGCTAAGAACTTTTATCTTAGTGTATTAATTTACACGCTAAGAGCTGTTATCTTACTGCAATTAATTTACATGCTAAGAGCTGTTATCTTACTGCAGTTAATTTACACGTTAAGAGCTGTTATCTTACTGCAGCTAATTTACATGTTAAGAAATGTTATCTTATATCACTTAATTTACATACTAATATCTGTTTTTTTTACATAATTTCATTTTCATGGTAAGAGCAGTTATCTTACATGATTTTATTTACGTGCTAAGAGCTGCTATTGTACAAAAGTTTATTTACATACCAGGAGTTGTTATTTAACGTCACTTAATTTACACACTAGGAGCTGTTATTTTACATTATGTGATTTACATGCTAGGAGCTGTTATTCTACCGTAGTGTATTACATGTAGTGTATTACGTGTATTACATGCTGTTACCCTACGTAGTGTATTACATGTAGTGTATTACGTGTATTACATGCTGTTACCCTACGTAGTGTATTACATGTAGTGTATTACGTGTATTACATGCTGTTACCCTACGTAGTGTATTACATGTAGTGTATTACGTGTATTACATGCTGTTACCCTACGTAGTGTATTACATGTAGTGTATTACGTGTATTACATGCTGTTACCCTACGTAGGTATTACAGTAGTGTATTACGTGTATTACATGCTGTTACCCTACGTAGTGTATTACATGCTGTTACCCTACGTAGTGTATTACAAGTAGTGTATTACGTGTATTACATGCTGTTACCCTACGTAGTGTATTACATGTAGTGTATTACGTGTATTACATGCTGTTACCCTACGTAGTGTATTACATGCTGTTACCCTACGCAGTGTATTACAAGTAGTGTATTACGTGTATTACATGCTGTTACCCTACGTAGTGTATTACAAGTGGTGTATTACGGGTATTACATGCTGTTACCCTACGTAGTGTATTACAAGTGGTGTATTACGGGTATTACATGCTGTTACCCTACGTAGTGTATTACAAGTGGTGTATTACGGGTATTACATGCTGTTACCCTACGTTAGTGTATTACAAGTGGTGTATTACGGGTATTACATGCTGTTACCCTACGTAGTGTATTACAAGTGGTGTATTACGGGTATTACATGCTGTTACCCTACATAGTGTATTACAAGTGGTGTATTACGTGTATTACATGCTGTTATCCTACGTAGTGTATTACAAGTGGTGTATTACGTGTATTACATGCTGTTACCCTACGTAGTGTATTACAAGTGGTGTATTACGTGTATTACATGCTGTTACCCTACGTAGTGTATTACAAGTGGTGTATTACGTGTATTACATGCTGTTATCCTACGTAGTGTATTACAAGTGGTGTATTACGTGTATTACATGCTGTTACCCTACGTAGTGTATTACAAGTGGTGTATTACGTGTATTACATGCTGTTACCCTACGTAGTGTATTACAAGTGGTGTATTACGTGTATTACATGCTGTTATCCTACCGAGTAGTTATTTTATTTAAGTCCATTTACGTGTGGCCCGGTGGCCTGGTGGCTGAAGCTCCCGCTTCACACACGAAGGGCCCGGGTTCGATTCCCGGCGGGGTGGAAAAATTTCGACACGTTTCCTTACACTACTGTCCTGTTCACCTAGCAGCAAATAGGTACCTGGGTGTTAGTCGACTGGTGTGGGTCGCATCCTGGGGTGTCGTGTGGGGTTCGGTAGGAGATACGAGGATTGAAGGTAAACACCTTGTTGGATGGTAACACTATATATTGTCAGACTGTGGATGAGAGGTGGGGCCCAGCCTGCCCTGTTCTTAGCTGTTTGTAGGTGGTCCGTCGAGTGAGGACGAGGTAGCCTGTCCCGCTCACTCATGGAGCATCCCGTGAAGTCATACAGTCACTCGGCCTAATAGGAATCTTCTATATAAAACACATGGATGGTACTATAATATGCTATACAACACATATAAGGGGATCAGCAACTATGCTGACATGGGGACAAGATTGAGGACCACAATGGAAATAAGTTAGACAGTCCTCGATGACGCACTGACTTTCTTGGGTTATCCTGGGTGGCTAACCCTCCGGGGTTAAAAATCCGAACGAAATCTTATCTTATCTTATAAGAGTTGTTATATTCATGTATATGTTAAATGCTGTTATCGTGTCTCATTTAATTTGCGTGCTGAGAGCTGTTTCTTACCTCATCTCACTTACAGACTAAGAGCTGTCATCCTTGGTTATCTTACCTCATCTCACGTACAGGCTAAGATCTGTTATCCTATCTCGGTTCATTTACAGGATAAGATCTGTTATCCTACTTCAGCTCGTTTTCCGAGTAAGGTTGTAGAAGTGAGAGTAAGCCAATATGTGTCTAAAAGATACTTTGTGTGGGAAATGCCTTTATCACTTCTGCAACGTTGCAGTTGTAACACTTGTTTCTCTGCAATATTGTGTCATGTTATCCAATTACCGCTTTTATTTTACTTAAGCTCATCTTACTTCAACCTCAGTAGCGTTTATAGACTAAGAGCAATTATCCTGTCTTAATGTTGTTTATAGACTAAGGGTTGTGGCCCTGCTTCTGCATCATTTATATACTAAAAACTGTTATCCTACCATTGTATTATTTACAAACTCACGATGACTTCACAGAAAAAAGTGTTTACAATTTCTGAGCAAAAAATATAAATAAAGCAAGTGAATTAATTACGTTTCAATGACGAAGCCGAAAATGAATGATCCGACGAGCTTCCCAATCTGTGTGACTGCCTGAGTGGTGGAGTAGAGTGCTCGGCGCTCACACACCAGGTCCCACTGTGGGTATATATGTTATTAGTGCATCAGAGTACACAACAGATCCCACTGTAGGTACACATGTTATTATGTATCTTAGTGTACAACAGGTCACACACCAGGTTACATGCCAGGTTACACACTAGGTCACATGCCATGTCACACGCAAGGAAGTGAGAAGAGGAGAGAGAAAGGTCACTGTTTATTCACTGACTTCAGGAGCTTTAAGGGAGGACTTAGGACGATATACGACAGGCAGAGTAAACAAATATTTGCAATGTCACCACAATAATGGGCAGGCGGAAGGCATATTGCGGGTGACATGTTCAGTGACTTGGGAAGTACTCGAGAGGGAGAAGTCGCCCAGTCAGAATTACCTTCACAATAGAAATGGTACAAGAAAAGATTATGCAGCAGAAACCACAGTAAAGGGATAGAGAAAAATATCGCTGGGTGTACCTTGACCTGGACTGAACAAGGAACGGAAGCAACTGAGATGGCAAAAAGGTGCCAGAGGCAGGAAGGAGAGACAGGACATGCACTGACAGGCATGGAAGCAAAGCTTCTAGAGGACCATAAGATACAACCACCCACAAAATCTCCTCAACCTGTAACAACCCCTCCTACCACCCTGACCCATGGGCAGGGACCACAGAGATGATAACAGATGCAATCTTGAGACATTGCTTATGGAGATGAGAACAGATGCAATCTTCCTTACTGGCTATGAAATTCTGAGGGAAGACAGTGAGAAGAGAGGAATAGATGGAATAACACTGTTTATCAGAAATCAATGGAGCTCTCAGATGAAAGAAATGAACAAATGGGAAGCAGATGGCTACGTAGTTCATGGGGATTTTCTCCCTTATTTTTTTCTGTAGCTGTTGGTAGCATGGTCGTGCCTCTGCATGTGACCTATCACTCTCTCCACCTTCAACCCCGTCCCCCACCACATCCCCGCTCCCAGTTGCTCTCCCCCTTCACTCATTGGCCCTGCTTGATGGGCTGATAAGGCCTTAGGGTATGTTATATCTCCTTCCTTCCCGTTGGGCCCCTCGTTCAGTAGGGGTGTACCAGCTTCAGGTGCTATGTCTCCTTTGGTCAATACCCCTATAACTCGCTTCAGACTGTTTACCTTATATTGTAGGACTCTTATCCTGGCTACTGCAGCTTTGACTTATGACTCCCAATTCTTCCTCTCCTCCTCCAACCTCTTCCAACTTCACAGTAAGCTCTGCATGTGTGTGTGTGTGTGTGTGTGTGTGTGTGTGTGTGTGTGTGTGTGTACTCACCTAGTTGTACTCACTTAGGTGAGGGTTCCCTACTAGTGCTATGTACTTCAAGATGGGCCTGACATGTGTTATATAAAGTGTTGGAATGACTCCATGTTGAGATTCTTGAAGGATACTCTCAGATTTGCCAGGTGAGCATTGGCTGCAGAGGTTATTCAGCTGATGTGAGCCTCTGGCATTATGATGCTCACTCCTAGGTCCTTATTTTCGAGTCAGGTCTTTAGCCTGTCCCTCGAGTCTATACTCCGTGTGTAGGCAGTAGGCCTACCCACCTTATATCACTTACTGGATAAGGCCTAGTTTTTCGAGTGAGCGGTAGATGCCCTCG